TCCTCCTCTCTCTCCTCCTCCTCCTCCTCCTCCCATCCTGGGAGACCACAGCCGTGGCCACGAGGGAGCTCCAGGACGAGCAGGAGGCAGTTTTTCGCCAGATGCTGACAAGGTTACCTGCATGAAGGGGGGGCGGTGGGTGTGGCGAGGCCCGAAAGGACATCTGGACTGCATGCAAGTCGGGACTCAATCGCACGCCTTTCCGCCACAGCGATGCTTGAAAGAAACGCTGGCGGAGGGTGGGGGGGCAAGCAAACTTGCTTGAGTCAAACGGGGGAAGACTACCCCGACCCCCTTAGCGTTCATTGAGCAGCCCAGTCCTGTTCGATTATCCCTTTGAACGCGGTTACCGAAGGCGCTCGCTCGTCGGGGTGCCTAGTATCAGATAGCTTCGTCTGCCCTCTGTTGAGGAGAGGCAGCCTCCAGCGGTGTTTGCATGCGAGGGCGAACAGATACCCGAGCGCTGCGCGTTGTGGTCTGGGTGGGCTCTGGAGCGGTTGCCTCTCTCCGCGGGGGTGGCGCGAGGGCGCGAGGGCTCGAAGAGGAGCGCGCACCGCGCACCGCGGGGCGGAGCGACGCGCTCGCCGCTCGCGAGGCGCACCGCGTCGCGGGGCCGCCGGCGCCGCGGCGCGCCGCGCGAGACTTCTGGGCCGTAGCTGACCTCTCTTCACCTCCAAACCAAGACGAGTAGGCAGGTTCAAGGCAGCGCAGCAGTCAGGGCGCACCCGTTGTTTCTCTCACGGCGCAAAGGGCACTCGTTCCGGGAAGGCCGGCTTTTCGTGCCAGCGGCTGCAGGGAGTGGACAAGCGAGGAAGCATGCGCGAAGGGGCACGGGAGGCAGCAAAAAGGGGGGGGGGGAGCATGGGGTGCAGCAGGAGTGTCGCCCCTCTCTCAGAGCCCCGAATTATCAGGGGTAACTCGGGTCAGGGTTAACTCGGGTTCCTTTTTCGGGAACCCAAACCCGAGTTACCCCGGACCCGAGTTACCCCGGATAACTCGGGCGTCCAGAGCCCCAAAATCATCAGGGGTAACTCGGGTCAGGGCTAACTCGGGTTCCTTTTTCGGGAACCCAAACCCGAGTTACTACCCCGGACCCGAGTTACCCCGGATAACTCGGGCGTCCAACTCTCTTCCCCCCCTCCGCCGCGACAGGCGCCGGGGGCGGCCGACGCGCTGCCGGCGCTGCAGGGCCCGCCCGCCGAGCGGCTCGCGCTGGAGGGCGGCGCGGGCTCCGCGGGGCCGCCTCCGGGCGGCGCGGCCGCGGGCGCCCTGGCGCCCGCGGGCCTGCGGGAGCTGCGGCCGCCGGCCGGCGGCGGCCTGCCGGGGCTGCCGCAGGACGCTTCGGGAGCTGCAGGGGAGGGCGCGTGGAGACACCCGCACGCGGAGCACCGCGGAGGTTGCCGAGGGGGTGGGGGGTCGCAGGCCTGGAGGTTGGCACCAACACCAGTAGCGGCGGTGTGCCTCCACCGAGGGCAGAAGATCCCGATCTCGGTGGTGGTGGTAATATTCTGGCTTCCAAGGTGACCGAAATATTGCCACCAACACCGAAGTCTAGGATCACCTTCCCCATGTGGAGGCACCCCCCTGTGTTGGCGTTGGTGCCCATTTGTAGGCCTCCAACAGGTCGCAGGTGGGTGCGAGCGTGGGTCCTGTCTGGCCCAGAGTGGCGCACCGGTGGGCCATGGGTGCCCTGAGTGCCTGGAAGGGGTTTGAGGCAGCTCTGCTAGGTGGGCTCCGCCCGCTGGGCCCAGGCCTTTGCCTCCCGTAGGCCGCTAGGGGGCACTTGCAGCGCAGGTATAGCAGCTAGGTTCGACCAGAAATAACGCGCCTTGGTATACACACAGATACCCCCCATATCACCTTCGCAGCCCCAGCGGTGATCCAAGTGATGGGCCCCCTCGTCGCCACGGCTAGACGCGGCTCGCAAAATTGGTGTGGCCCAGGGGGAACTCCGGGGACCGATTTCGAGGTGCTGGTGTCTCAACTCGCACTGCTCCGAGGAAGCGGGCGGCGAGGTGAGCGAGGCGGTGCTCCGGGGCAATACTATGGGGGGATGGACCGGAAGTCGGGCAAGGGCTGCTAAATCTGTGGCTGCTAAAATCGACCTCCGGGAAGTTGTCTTCGTCCTTCCGGGAAGAAGCCCGTTGACTGTTCCGCGTGCCGCGCCTCCTTCCGGGAAGTTGTGTTTTCCTTCCGGGAGGGCCGTTTTGGCAGCCACGGTTTTAGCAGCCCTCGCCCAGCTCTCGAATGAACCCAGAGGAGCGGCGTCGACCCGTAGTCGCCCATGCATCGACGGCATGGGCCCGATGGCCCGCGTGCCCGAGAGAGCCTCGCCGTCGAGGGGTCGAGAGGGTTGGCACGGCTTCCTGGGCGGGAGGCGGCGGAAGCAGGCAGTGCACGCCGGTCGTTGAAAGCAGGTAATTCTGGGTTCCCAGGACCCAATCTACTTCAGGCGCCGTTCTACGTCAAGAGTCGATATGGTCTGGCTGTTGCTTGTCATTCTTTGGGCGGGCCCGAACCCAGTCTGCTTTATCCGCCTTCCTATACGTCATGTTTCTGCCTACTTCTTCTGACCAGCGTGTAGGGAACTGACGCCGTCTCCAGCGGCGGTAGCCGGCGGAGCGGTGTGCGGTGGCGAGGAGGGCGGGCTTCTGGTCAGGCGAGGGAGAGGTAATGATGCCACTGCCCTTCCCTCGTTTTCGCCGTTTTGGGCCTCCTCTCTCTTCGTCCTCGTCTTCCTCCTCCTTCCCCTTTCTTCTTGCCTCCTCTCTGCACTGCAGCGCCGTCGCCCTGCGCGCGCCCGCCCGCCGCGGCGGCCGGGCGCCGCCAGCAGAGGCTTGTTTTCTTTCGGCCGGGGTCAGGGGCTGCGGCTCGCAGGCTGGAGGAGGCAACTGCGGATTTGTTAGCTGATTTATTAGATGAGGAAGCGCGTGTCCCAGAGTCGTGGGCCTCCTTAGAAACCCTCGTCGCCACGGTCGGATTCGCTCCCGAGTTCTGGTCTGGACGCATCCTCTGAGAGGTCTGGGGAGCAGCGGTATCGGTACCTTTGGTTTCCCCAGCGGGCCAGCTTGTTCACGCGTGCGCGCATCGCAAGGAGCGAGTCCCGCCTCTGGGGTCCAGGATACACGTTTTGGCGCCGCTGGGGGCCTCCGCATGGCCTCGGGAGGCAACTGCGAAGGAGGACGGGAGAATAAAAAAACAGCATAGCCATACTCTTGTGGCGCTCCCCGCGGATTTCTTGGATCTGCGCTGGGCCCCCCTGGCGGCGCCTCCGGCGCCGCCTCTGGCCTGCGTGCCAGGGAGGGGAGTCCAGTGCAGATCCAGGAAATCCTCGCGGACCGTCGAAAGTGTAAGTTTATGCTGGTGTTTCTTCCTCTTGGATAGGGAACAAACGGGGGGGAGTGCGGAGCCTGCAGCATGCAGCCGGTGTCGGCCCTGGCGCCCCGGGTGCTTTTTCCTCGATGCATGGGCGTCTGCGGCGCCAGGGGGCGCTAGGGAGATCGGCCGCGCGAGCCGAATCGCTTGTCCCCCCCCCTTTCCTGCCCCCCTCCCGCCCTTCGGGCAGACTTGGAGGATTCGTCCTTGTCCCACGCAGGCGGATGCACAGCGACACAACTACGGGATGCCAGTTGTATCTGTCTCTGGTGCCCTGGCGCCACCGCCTAGCCCCGCGTGGGACCGTCCCTCTCGCACGCTGTGCTTGGATCGCCGCTGGGGTTGCTAGAGTGGATGCCAAGATGGGTCACACCTGGCCTAACCCAGCTTCTATAACTGGGTTGTAAGTGCCCTCAGCGGCGTACCGGGGGCAAAGACCTGGGCTGAGTGGACCCCTTGCAGCCCTTTTAGGGACGCTGTAACCCTTAGCATCCACGTCCAAGCCCCCCCCCCCCCCGATCCCCTCAGCAACCCTAGCGGCGACCCAGGCAGGCGCAGCCTCAGCCTCGGCCTCCCGCCTTCTGTCCGACCCGTTGCAGCATGTTCGATGGCGCGGACGTTCGCACGCAGGCTGCCCGCGCGAGGGCGCGCCGGAAGCGCCCCCCCGTCTCCGCGCGTGCGCAGCGCCTCCCAGCGGCCCGCGCAGGCCTGCGCGTGGGGCCGCATCGTGCTCTCGCGTAGGAGGCCGCTCTCCCTCCCCTGGGGCAATTTATGGGGGCCTCCCCATATGTTGCGCCATTTGCCAGCACTGTATTGTGACTTTAGATGCAGGTTTTTCCACCCTTCGACAGATCGGCGCTCCGGTGCGATCTTGCCGGGCCCTCGCGGCCCTCTGTGGCAAGTTCGTTCGTTCGTTCCCATATCATTTTGCCGGCTCTTGCGAATCGACGCTACCAAGTCGACGCTGATCGACATTCATCGACGCTCCATCGGCGCTATCTCATCGATTGCCAGACGCTGGTCGACGCCAGTGCATTTTGCAGACGGAATGGCCAGGGTAGACGAGGCTCCCGTGATGTTCTACCGACCTTCTTCTGTCGCTCCGGTGTGTGCGGTAGCACTCATGGGATGTAGCTTCCTCTGGACGTGAACATGCGTTTTTCTCGGCGAGACCAGCGCCAAAGCACCTGGACCAGCTTGGAGCAGCCTGGACGATCTGGTGAAGCAAGCACGGAAACAACGAATGCCTGGGAACTGGCGTCCGAGCGATGGCGAGGGGAGCCCTGCATGTCCTCGCAACTCCGTCTCTGGAGTGCACTTAGTGTGCGCCGGCGTCTGGTGAATCTATGACAACGCGCAGGTTTGGCGTCGACTGGCGTCGATCAGCGTCGATTTAGCGTCGGTCAGCGTCGGCTCGCAATAGCCATCAAGATGGCATGGGAAGCTCCCATGAGTTGCTACACGAGGCCTCTCTTCCTCTGTCGTTCGGGTTCGGATATCACCGGGACCCTGGGTAAGGGGGTCAGTGACCCGAAGCCCAGTGCCAGCAAGTTGTCCGGAATCATGAAACCAAGTTTGCCGCAGCTGGTGTATCTTCGGGTGACTGCAGTTCTGGTCCGTGGAGTGGGGCGGGGGGGGAGGCGTCCCTGGGCATGCGCCATTAGACCAGCTCCCACTAAACCAAGTCCTGCCCACGCCCGAACGAAGGCCTTTCTTCCTCGGCCACTCGCAGAGGGAGGTAGTGGGGAAGGCTTCTCAGAAGGAGGCTGCTTTTTAGCAGGCGCCAGCCATGCATCTTTAGGTGGGGCTCAGCGCCTTTCAGAAGCAACCTCCTTCAAGTTATTCTCCCCTCCTCTACCCACTCGTGCGCGCCGCCAGCTTCCTCTGGCGCGCAGGTGTGCGCCGTGGAGGGCCGGAACTATAAGCTCACGCTGGTGCCCGCGGAGGCGGCGCTGCAGCGTGAGGACCTCACCAAGCCAAAGGGCGAGAAATACGACGACTTCACGTTCGACCTGAGCGCGCTGGAGCACGACCTGGAGCAGACCAGGAAGAAGCAGGGGGTGGGCAAGACGGTCGAGGCGGTGAAGATGGAGGACATTTGGAGCCGTCCTTCACCGCTCACCAGACCACACCCAACCCATCCCGAGGGCCCCGATCTGTCGTCCATGCCCAGTAGTGGGGAGGCGTCGGGGAATATTGAAAACACATGGAGCCCGTAGCCCTCCAAAGCCGAAATTCTAGACGTTTCGCGTAACCCGACCAGTTCTGCCCGCCCGTCCCTTGCTCTCTCGCCTCCTCGTAGTGGTGAGCGGTTCGGCCTCACGTGCCCACTGTGCTGCCACTGGGCTGCTTGGCCCTAGCCTGTGCTCTCTGGACTGTTCGGTTTGAGCTGGCGCCACTGTGCGACTTCTCTCCGTCTACTCCAGTCTGGTGCTTGCGTCCCCGTTTCCGGGTCGCTCGCATCTTCATGGGGGGCATCTTGCCTCTTGCAGGTGCATTTCTTGCGTCGGCCTAGGCGCCGTCGTAACCAATTTTCTCGCCCTGTGCCCCAGTCGCGCCCGCCCCTCGGACTCTTCATTGGAGCCGCCAATCAAAAAGTACCCCCACCAGCCCATCCAGAGACGATGCCCAGAGGCGTTGCCTCGATCAGATGAGTGGACAGCACGCAGAGGAGGGGTCCCTCTTGGAGCGCTCTTGGGACACTCACTCTTGGGCGATCTTGGGGCCGTACTGGGGCTTGCTTGGGCCTCTCTTGCGTCTTGGGAGCCTTTTGGCAGCCCCGGGGGTTTCTTGAAGCGTCTCGGGTACCTCGGGGAGCCTCTTGGGGCCCTCTTAGGCGCTTTTGTGAGCCTTGGGAGCGCTCTTGGCGCCATCTTGGAGGATCTCGATCAAAAAAAAGGGGAGTTTTTTTTGGCGCCCCCCCTTTGGAGCCCCCAAAGTCGCCTCTTTGGGCGCTCTTGGGACGCTCTTGGAGCGCTCTTGGGCGCTCTTGGGGCCGTCTTGGAGCTCTCTTGAGCCTCTCTTGTGGCCCTCTTGGGCCACCTTGGAGCCAGCTTGAGGCCTCGGATGGCCATGGGAAGCGAAAAGGCGAGAAAACAATAAGCGTTGATTCCCCGTAGGTTTTGGAAGGATTTTGGCCTCTTCGGGGTGTCCTTGGGGAGCTCTTTGGCCACTTGGAGCCGTCTTAAGACGGTCTTGGGGCCTCTTGGAGCATCTTGGGTGCCATCTTGAGGTATCTTGCGCTATATTGAGCCATCTTGGAGGTCGTCTTGGGCTCTCCGAGGCGCTCTTGGAGCCATCTTGGGCCATCTTGGATGCTCCACAGCGTCGCGGCCCCCCCGTTCAGGTCCAGGGGAGGGAGTCGCGGGAAGGGTAAGCCTTCCCCGAAGAGGAAGAAGGGGTTTGGAAAAGGAAACGCCCTAGACCACCTACGCCCAGAGGGCCGGCGGGATTTCGGTCGTCGGGTTGGGTTGGGGTGGTCTGGTAGGTGGTTCGTCTGGGGGTCTGAGGTGGCCCACCACTGGCTCTGGCCAGCAGGAGGAGCGGGGGAGAGGTCCGAGATTCCTGGGTCTGGGAAAGATTGTTTTGCCTTCTGCGGCCTCCGGGGGCCGCGTTCGGGCCCCGGGGTCGTGGCAAGCGGGTTTGGAGGGAAGAATTGCATCAGAGTGGCTCACCTGGCATCGCTCGGACGTGTGTTTTTTCTTGGCAAGGACCCTTGAGGAACATCCTAGATCATCGAGCGAAACAAAAAAACATGCACGAAACCGAAGAATGCACTGGAAATGGACGTCCGAGCGACGGCAAGCTCCAGGAGGGTTCCAGTGACCGATTTTGCGTGAATTTTTGGCTTCGCCCCGCCCAGCTGACCGATCTTCTGGGGGCACAGCCAGGGAAGACCCCCTGGCCGCCGTCAAGAGGACATCCCATCGCTTGCAGACCTCATCAACAAGGGCAAGAACAAGAAGATGAAGCAGCGGCAGGACAAGCTGTGCCGGCGGCTCGAGTTCTTCCTGTTCGTCATTCAGACGATCGTGTTCTACTTGACAATCAGCCCTGACTCCCGGCAGACCATTTTGAACCGGTACGTGATCGAAGGTAGCACCACGGTTCTCGAACGGTTCGTACCCGCGGAGCGCAGCACTGTCGGGGCGGCGGCCTTCATGAACGTGACGCAGCACATAGAGTACAGCGCTTGGCTGAAAGGACCGCTGCGGCGCGGTCTGTACGAAAATACGCTGAGAGACCTGAACGTCCACCCGCTCGCGGCGAGCGCCTGGGCATTCAAGCCAGAGGAGTCCGACCTGTCCGACCTGAGCTTCTGCCCAGAGGCGCCCGCGGCCTCAACCTGCAACCTGAGCGAAGCCGCCCCGGAGCCGCCGACGAACGACAGCAGCCAGCAGTGCTATGACGGAGGGTTGCGACGTTGCAAGAACAGGATCGGAGCTGGATGGACCTCCTACCCTGACACGTCGATTAAGGAATTGGCCGTTTTCGGTTCGCGAGAGGGCGTCGCGGCCGTCGTTTTTGCGGGTCCAGGTCCGTCGGTTTCGGTCCCAGGCCGCTTTCACCAAGGGGAGATTTGCTAAAGGGAAGTTCGTCCACCGCCAACAGGAGGGTGGTGCAGGTGTTCAGCGACGCCGCCAGGGACTGCCACAGCGTGCCAGCGTGCCGGCCACAGAGCAAGAAGAGCGACCTGAGGAGCATCGGGTACAGCGCGGTCCTGCCACGGTGGTCCATGATCGACGGGAAGGTTAACTCTTACAGCGACGGGATCGCCACGCGGTTCAACTTGTCAGATCCCAGCGATTTCGATAACGCCATACCTTCCATGGAGGACTGGCGGTATGGAGACGTCGTCCTCGTCGCCCAGATGATTCTGGTTTTCGTCTATTCCCCCACCACGAATTCTGTCTATGCCTTCCAGCTGCTGGCGGAGGAGACCCTGTCAGGAAGCATCGTCACTAGCCGCGTCAGCTCCGTGGTATCGTTCGTTCCAGACGATGCGTGGATGTACTTCTTTCACATCATGGTGTTTCTCACCAGCTGCACGACGCTGCTGCTCGAGCTGCGCAGAGTGTTCGCTTGGCCGAGATTTACTTTCGTGGTGACCTCGCTGGATGATGACGATCCGGAGCTGAGGGGCCTGACCCCAGAAAAGAGAGATGAGAAGAAGGCAGAGCACATGAAGAAGGAGATCGACGAGCAACGAGAGCACGGCTCGGTATGCACGCTGATTGTGTTCTTGCTGTTGCCCCTTGTGCAGCTTGCGGTCTTCATCATGTTCTGCCTGAGGAACTCTGTGGACGCAGACGACATGGTGACCGTCAGCGACAAGCAGATAAGCGCAGATGTGGAGGACGAGCTCTTCCGCCGCTACCGGCTTCAATATTTCGAGGAGGGCCTTCAGCTGCTTTTGCTCTTTGCCGTCAATGCGCTATACTGGCGGTACCTGCTGATGTTTTTCCCGGAGCTTCAGTCAACCAGCAACATGGCCGCCCAGTTGGCGCGGCCTCTGGGGTACGCCTTGCTGGCCCTGCTCCTCGTGTTCTTGGCATTGTCATCGTTCACGTTCGCAGTCTACAGCACCAAGTTCTTCGGGTGGCATGCTCCGATCCCGACCCTGCTCAGAGCGGTCGCGATCGCGCAGGGTGATTCGCCAGGCTATGATCTGTACAAGCTGAGCCCAGCAGCGTTCACCATACTCATTCTCGGGGTGTTTGTGGTTGTCACGATGATTATGAACAACATTGCACTTGCAATCATGGTCGCTGGCTCGAAAGCGACAGGGACCTCAAACAGACAGGGATGGAAATTTGGAGATCAGGGAAGGGGAGGGGGATGAGGAGGCGGGAGGAGGGGGAGGGAGAATGCACGAGAAAGGAACACCATCATGTAGCATCAGCAGCGGGCAGAGGAGAGAGGTCTCGTATTCGAAGGAGAGGGACCTCCGCAAGAACTACCAGTACCACAAGCAGTGGCAGCAGCACTCCTGGCAGAGCAAGAAGCAAGCTGGAGCCGACGGACAGGGCAGCAGTTTCAACCCCGCGACGGCTGGCCTGCAGTTCTGGGTTGAGCTTGACGACAAGAAAAGGGAGAGGTCCAGATTCAAGAAGAAGGACGTGTCTACCTGACGACTGTTCTGGCATGTCCTCCCGACATGAATGCCCCGTCTCTTCTTCCTCACTCCTTCCTCCTTGAGCTGAAAGCCAGCTGCGCGTTTCACCCGCTGCTCGGCGCGGGACACACCGTACCGCTGTGGCATGCCGCTTCCCCCTTGACCGGGGCCAGCCTTCCGGCTGAACGTATTGCAAGCGAGTCGAGCCTTTCCTTCCTCCCTCCCTCCTCCCTCCTCCTTCGCCTCCTCCTCGCCTCCTAATCCTCCTCCCTCTCCTCCGCCTCCGCGAGCTCCTCTGCGATGTTCTTCTCCCTCTTTCTCCCCCTCGTCGACCTCCTCATCCTCCTCCGGCTCCTCCGACCACTCGACTTCCTGCTCCCTCATGAGAGAGGGAGGGAGGAGGAAGTCGAGGGGGCGGAGGAGGCAGAGGAGGGAAGAGGGATGCACGAGGGAGGATGGAGGGATCGAGGGAGTGAGGGACGGAGGGAGTGAGGGAGGCTCCAAGGCTCCCTTCCTCCCTCCCACTCTCCCTCCTCCCTCCTCCCTCCTCCCTCTCTCCTCCACCTCCCTCTCTCCTCTTCCTCCTTCTCCACCTCCTCCTCCTCCTCCTCCTCCTCCTCCTCCTCCTCCTCCTCCTCCTCCTCCCTCTCTCCTCCTTCTCCCTCTCTACTCCTCCTCCCTCTCTCCTCCTCCTCCTCCTCCTCCTCCTCCTCCTGCACTTCCTACATCCCGCCTCCTTTGTAGCCATGGTGGCTCAGGCCATTCTGGCTCAAGTTCCAACGTGGCTCCCGACGCTGGAGGATAATTCGCAGCCACAGGGGCGGCTCAGTGCCCCCGTGCACTTTCCAGCTTTCACTTCGAGTGCCCACCCCGAATCGCCTTCCCAGGCTTGGGTGAGCACGCTCCACGAGACGATCCCACTCTCGCCCGTTGGCCTCTGCGTCCCACGTCATCCGGGCGCCCGCGGCCTGGGCTGGGCCGTTTGCCCGCCGCGAGTCCGACGAACACCGTTTGGCACGTGTTTGTTTCAGGGAGGGTCGCTCACAGTGCGCGAGCTCCATCGTGGGCCTAATTGTTGGCCCCTCGTTCAGGCCCTCACGGGATCGCTGACAGAAGAACGATACGACCCCACTTACATCCGCACTCGCATGTCTCGGCGCCAGGGAGGGTTTAAACATGTTGATCAGGTGGATTGGTTGCGCCGCTTGTGTGCTACTCGCAGCGAAGATCCATGGGTCGATGTTGGGTAGAAGACGAGATGCGCTGGAACGGTTGTGGCGGCATGCGCAAGGTGTCCTTGCTTCCTGCCGCGTGCCCAATGGTTCGCAGCGCACGAGCGACAGGCGGCATGGAGCCCGCTGCCAAGGAGCTCGCTCGACTTCGGGCTGAGGTTGCAGAGCTTCGTCGGCAAGCTCGGGCCGGTGGCGCCCCGGGCTGTTCCTCCAACATCGGGGTCGGTCGACGGTGCCTCCGTCGAGGACAAGGCCATCCTGGATAAAATTGACATTTTGGAGGGAATGCGTGCGCTCTGCGCGGGCAAGGCCGGCACGGAGGCACCTGCGGCCGACTTGGCTCGAGAGCGCACCACATGGTTGGCCCAACGTCGCTCCACGCAGCCCCTTCATCAACAGCTTCGGCAGCTCTCGACAACACTTGGCATCGAGAAGGGCGAACTGGACAAGGCGGAGAAGGCGGTCCAGGACAAGCGGGACCACCTCGCGAAGCTTCAGGGGGAGCTCAAGGAGAGTGAGAAAGTTTTGGGTGCACAGCAACAGGTCATCGTCGAGCCAGAGGCGCAGCTCCGTGAGTTGGGCCAGCAGGTGGCCGCTCCACCCGAACCAGGTTCAGGCGAACATGCTGCTGCTGACGCTCGTGGCCAGATTGATGTTTCTGTGTTGGAGCAGTTGCTGTCTGCTGCGGGCGCTGGGCAAGAGATTATGGATACACTGCAGGCCAGATCGCTCCTCTCGGAGCTCGTCATGGCTGGCGCGTCACATCGCAGTGCAGAACCTGCGGCTGGGGCAGAGGGTCCGTCAAAAAAGGGCTGTGCTTCTTCGCAGGTGGGGATGGACCTGGACGCGATCGACATTTCAGAGTTGCGCTCCAAACTCGGTACCATGAGAGTCACGCTGCCAGATCAAGAGAACTATTTGCGGAACTTTGCGAAGAAGATGCGCGACGCGTCGAAGACCTTCTTCAAGCCATAGTAAGGCGATGATGATTGTTGTTGGTCTTTCTTCCTCGACTCCGTGATGGACGTGTTTGGCTTTGCCGCCGTCGTCGGCTTCAGCGGCGGCGTTGCATATTCAAGGGTGTGGCCCCGAGAGCGCGGCCCCTGGTCTTCTTGGGCGTAGCCCCGGCATGGAGGCCCTGGTTTGTTGTCAGATCCTGGCGAGCAGAAGCTGCGGGGGAAAAGGGGGGGCATCATCCCCGCCAGACGCGCCCCCGACCGCCGTGCTGATTCCCTCGGTCGCGGTGCGGCCGCAGTCGCGGCCCGCTCCAGTGCCGGCAGGTGCTGGGCAGGACAGGGCCGCTGGCCCGATGATCGCGTTCCTCGCGTCGAAGTCGCGATTCCAGCCCCGTGTTTCCCCTCCCTTGAGCTGGCCCCTCCCTGATGACCCCCCTCCCTGCAGGATGCTTGGCTAAGGGCGGCTGTGTCCACCCCCGAGGGCGGCCGTTGGAGAAGCATCTGGCGGGCCTAGAGTGAAGAGGCCCTGGGACACACAAAGAAAGACACACAAATAACAGGGTGCTATTCA